AAATTAACATATTCTCAAAGTTAACTAAATTATCAGTCATCAGACTATTACTCCACAGATAATAGCAAACTTTCTTGGTTTGCAAACAAGACTTTTTTCCGGTGATATAATGAGAATTTAAATTAGAATATTGATACAGTCTGACAATTAACTTGTGTTCAAGAGAAATTTGAAATTTGCATTGTATCAGTCAGTCAATATAACATCTTGGATTTTAAAATCTTAAGGAAAAAATTATTTTGTGTTTGGTACCAACACTTAATGTAAAGGAGTTCAATGAATCTATGCAATTTAATAGAAAAGTGCACTTGTAGCCTAAATAATTTACCATTTAATGAAATCTAATTTTTAATAAATGATTGTAACTTTGATTTATAATCTCATTTTTAGAAGGCACTTGTTGAAAATATCAAGGTAAAAATGCTAAAGAAATATAGAAAACAATAAATTCTTGGTTATTTAAATTAACATTTCCTTAAAGTTGAATTTTCGTTTTTGTTGGTTACTGTTGTTAAGAATAACAATGACAATGTGATGGAAATTGAGAATTAAAGAAAAACCAGGATTTTACTCAGAAGCTGGGAAAGATATGTAAATTATAGGCAGGTTCTTTGAGAACAGAGCTATAAACACTGGAATCAGTAAAGAATTGCAACTGTACAGGTTAGGGTGTACCTGGGGTTGGATTCAATGTGGATACTTAGGATAGTGCTGGAAACTTGAGGAGGCTTGCTGTCACTCAGTATCCATTACAAATCTTGTGGGAACATGCAAATGCATTAAATAATGATATAGCAGCAAAACTATCTTTTATTCCCCCAAAATGGCTCATATGTCCTACAGTTTTAGCATGCTAAGTTTAGGTACGCTGATGGTTATCAGCAAGAGAGACAGAACAAAAGGTGATTGCTTAAAATAAAAAAAAATTAAAAGATCTTAAAATGCAGCAAAAAGTGGACAGTAATTAAAAAAAGAAATGGATTGGGAAAAATTAATTTTACATGTTCTTTTTTAATCATTTCATCCCAAGCAAGGCAGGGATGCCATTAGTATGCAGGATATTACAGGGAGTGAAAGTGAGAGAAAACAGTATAGGGAGGATTGAGGAAAGGACAAAAGATGAACAAGATTTAAGAAGTTGGTGATTGACTTTGTATTTAAACTTTTGAAAATTGTATTTATCAGAGAAGTGACTAAACGGAAGGGAGTTCTGCAGACAGGAAGTGCGAGGAAAGAAACAGTAAATGGCTGGGACCTAGATGCCAATCTAGTAGCATGCTTAAATCCATATAGTCAGGTCACCAAAGCAGTTGTCATGAAAATTATATGTAGAAAAGACAGAGGGAAGTCACGTCACATCAGTAAGAAAGTCACTGAAGTCAAGATTCCAAATCAGGATCAATTTGATTGCAGATCATTCGAGATGAATAGCAGGAACACCAGACCAGATATGGCAGCAGTATTCAATGCACAGGTGAATGGTAGATTTGTAAAGGTGCATGTAAGTATTCATTCAATTTTGAAATGTTGATGATTTTCGGATGTGTGGCTGGTGAAATGAATAGTGGCTTGGAATGAGAAATTGGAGAGCCAAGTTCAAATTCCAGTTTAATTCCTTATATTAACATGCACACAAATACCCTTAAGAAGGAATCCATATCTTCTCCTCCTCCTCCAAATATGAGTAAATAGCAAGACAGACTTGGCCCTATAACCTTGGTTGGTAACCAGTCTAGGAGAAAGAAAACTGAAGTCAAATCAGCCTAGAGGGGTTTGGGTTCCATCAGGCTGCTGTTAGGGCTGCAGTACATGTGGTGCCCCTATGATCCTAATGGGTTATGGGACTCATCATTGATGATTTTGAACATATTAGTTAATGTTAATTACAATGCATTTTATATCCAAATAAATCAACACAATATTATTTACTTACATTTTACTTTGTAATAACAAAATAACGTAAAGAGATTTTTGATATTTTTTTCAACCTACCTTCTTACCCCACAAAGTTAAATGGGGAGGAAGAAGATTATGTCATACCGCAATTCTCTGTAGAGAGGGTCTATCAAGAATCTCAAGATTTTACCTGTGCTTGAACACTAATTATTGGTGCTGGTGAGGAAAACATACCATATATTTCCATGTATAAGGTGATCTTTAAATCTTAAACATTAATCCCCCCCACCAAAGGCTTTGTCTAATACAATAGTTACAAAAAGCTAACCTTACATCTTATGGTGTATAGGCACTAGTAAGTAGGTTATTATGTTTGCGCCATAAATTGCTGTAGGCTGACAACTGCGTATCAATAAATTATATTATACAGTATTTATTTACTATGTTATGCAGCAAAACATTTAAGATGCTATAACATCTTTATTTCTCATTGCAGAATAAAAAACATAAAACATACACATACATAATTAAAACCTTTCAAAATTACTATGGTCATCGCCATTCTGATGCAAAGAACTCATCCTAAACATTGCCATTTACAGTTTTGTCATATGGGTCCGAGTTGGTCATCTTATACTATGGATATTGAATAAAATCATGAAAATTTACAGAGATTTCAAGTCTCGTCTTATCTAAAAGTCACCTTATCTGTGGAAATAGACAGTAATTACTTTGTTAATGAGACAAATAAAAAAAATTATTTGTCACTTATAAATTTCACTTTTATAGTACATTAGTTTTACCCAGGACAGAATAGAGTGAGGGGCAGGTATGCTTACAATTGCTGTGTGTGGGTGGGGCTATACCTTCTGGTTGAGGCTAAGGAGATGCTCTATGGTAAGGAATATTGCTATTACTATAAACAATATATTTTGTGGGTACATGTATTTGAACAGACATGTCCCTTTTTTTATAGAAATCAAATTAATCTCTATCAGGCAACATATATTTTAATAAGAAATAATGTCAGATTAAAAAATCTGGGACTTGCTTGAAAATTACTTATTATAGGTATGAAAATAAAGTCAGCAAATATAGACTTTGAAATGTCCCAACAAGAGATCTACATTTCTTTGATGGGGTATTTCAGCCTTGTTTTCTGTAATGGATTTTTCATGGCTTAATGATAAAGTGCAATTGGCTTAAAAATGGTTTCCCAGATTAAAAATAGAACACAGGTTTCATTCTTAACAGGAGGCACATTTTCTTGCCTAAGACTATTAATCACTAAGCCAGCTGCCATTAATTCCACTCTTTTTTAAAAAAGAAAAAAAAGAAAGGGGGATGCCTTCTAAAACACATGTACCCACTAAATATAACATAAATAATGATATATTATTATGTTCAAAATTCTTTTATTATGAGCTTGCACTTAATGAACAATTTTAATTGTAGCCTATATTGCTAGTTTTGCCCGGATCTGTTAGCAGCTTTGGTTAGGCTTGGTTTGACTTACTTGTAGTGTATTGAACATTGAACATTGGTTTCCAATTCAGTGCTTTAAAAGTAAGCCATCTCTATGTTCTACATTTTATACTGTATTTTGTATAATCTGCAAAATCAAGAAAAATAAAATTTAACTAAGAAATAGATTAACAAATTCAATCTTAATTTTTTTGTGACAATTTCGTTTATGTCTGGTCAAGATAAAACCAATATAATGCTTCATACACCACATTTGATGCATGGTCAGAATTCAAGATTTTCTCAGACAGACATTAATAATATTTCAGGCCTCATGGTGCAACCACAAATGGCTTCCAACAAGTTCATTCCTATTTTTTTTCTGGTGTGTTTTTTTTTTTTTTTTTTAAGCAGTCTTCAGCCTCATAAACAATCCCTGTTTACTCTGCCATGCCTCATATTTGCAAAATTATTATAGCCAAATGTGATCTTGCCCAGACCCCAGCAATTTTTCCCCATCCTGTCCTTTGTTTGAATTATTGATAGGAATGACTGTTGACATTGGAGATTCTTAAATGCTTATTCTTGAAATGATCCCAGTAATTTTTGCTCCTTGATTGCAAAGAAAAAGTGACAGAGGTCATTCCATGTTTTCTTCTTTATATCCATTTTTTTTATTTTGTTGCTCTTAACTACTACCAATCAGCTGTATTGTAAGTGAACAGGTTATGAGGTAGAAGAGGTTCATTGGTTACAATTATGATGAATTACTGTAGGGAATGCATCAAAATGATATTGACAGTTAATTGGAACAGAATGCACAAACAATAACTGTCAAACAGCGTCAAATGTCATCAAAGATTGTATACTTTTTTGATTTTACGTTGGGCAATAGTTTGTGCATTGTCAGTTTTTGCATCATCAGGGAGTGATTTATTTGTCACAAAATTTTAGGTGATAAATGAAATGAGATTTTTATTGCTTCTTGTTTCATTCCCTTCTTTATTCAAACATCATACCTTTTCTTTATCTCTCTCTTTCTTTGCTCTCTCTCTCTCTCTTTCTTTGCTCTCTCTCTTTCTTTGCTCTCTCTCTTTCTTTATCTCTCTCATCTTATTTTCTTTCTCATGCAAAATCTTCTCTTTTGTCTCCCACTCATTTTTGTTGTTTGTTTCTCATGCACATTACTTTGTTCTCATTGTCTCGCTCATATTCTTTCCTTTGTTCTCATTGTCTCGCTCATATTCTTTCCTTTGTTCTCATTGTCTCGCTCATATTCTTTCCTTTGTTCTCATTGTCTCATGCATTCTTTTCTTTGTTCTCTTTGTTTATCACTATTTTCTCTTTATTCTCTTTGTCTCTCTCACTCTTTTCTTTCTTTCCTTTGTATCTTGCATTAATTTCTTTGTTCTTTTTGTCTCTCATAAACTTTTCTTTGTTCTCTTTATCTGTCACTCATTTCTTTTTTTCTTTTGTCTCTCTCTTTTATTTGTTCAATTAGTCTCCCTCTCTTTTATTTGTTCAATTTGTCTCCCTCTCTTTTATTTGTTCAATTAGTCTCCCTCTCTTTTATTTGTTCAATTAGTCTCCCTCTCTTTTATTTGTTCAATTAGTCTCCCTCTCCTTTATGTGCTCAATTAGTCTCCCTCTCCTTTATGTGTTCACTTTTTCTTCACTTTTTTATTTCTTCTCTTTGCCTCTCTCTGTGTCTGCTTTGTCTGTCTCTCTCTGTGTCTGCTTTGTCTGTCTCTCTCTGTGTGTCTCTCTCTTTCTTTGCTTTGCTCGCTCTCTCTCTTTCTTTGCTCTCTTTCTTTGCTCTCTCTCTTTCTTTGCTTTGCTCTCTCTCTATTTTGCTTTGCTATCTCTCCCTTTCTTTCCTCTCTCCCCCTTTCTTTCCTCTCTCTCCCTTTCTTTCCTCTCTCTCCCTTTCTTTGCTCTCTCCCCCTTTCTTTGCTCTGCTCTCCCTCTCATTCTTTGCTCTGCTCTCTCTCTCATTCTTTGCTTTGCTCTCTCTTTCTTTCTTTGCTCTCTCTCTCTTTGCTTTGCTTTCTCTTTCTTTGCTTTGCTCTCTCTCGCTCTCTCTCTTTCTTTGCTTTGCTCTCTCTCTTTCTCTTTGCTTTGCTTTCTCTTTCTTTGTTTCTCTCTCTCTCTCTGTGCTTTGTTTCTCTCTCAAAATAAAAATCTCTCTTTCCCTCTCTCTCTTTGCTTTGTCTCTCATACTTTGCAATTCTTGCACTGGTTGCATTGTCCTTCAATCTCTCTGGTTGCATTGTCCTTCTCTCTCTCTCTCTCTCTCGGGTTGCATTGTCCTTCTCTCTCTCTGGTTGCATTGTCCTTCTCTCTCTATCTCTGGTTGCATTGTCCTTCTCTCTCTCTCTGGTTGCATTGTCCTTCTCTCTCTCTCTGGTTGCATTGTCCTTCTCTCTCTCTCTGGTTGCATTGTCCTCTCTCTGGTTGCATTGTCTTCTCTCTCTCTGGTTGCATTGTCCTTCTCTCTCTCTCTCTCTGGTTGCATTGTCCTTCTCTCTCTCTCTGGTTGCATTGTCCTTCTCTCTCTCTCTGGTTGCATTGTCCTTCTCTCTCTCTGGTTGCATTGTCCTTTTCTCTATCTCTGGTTGCATTGTCCTTTTCTCTCTCTCTGTGGTTGCATTGTCCTTCTCTCTCTCTCTCTGGTTGCATTGTTTCTTTTCTCTCTCTCTGGTTGCATTGTCCTTTTCTCTCTCTCTGGTTGCATTGTCCTTCTCTCTCTCTCTCTGTTGCATTGTCCTTCTCTCTTCTCTCTGGTTGCATTTTTCCTTCTCTCTTCTCTCTGGTTGCATTGTCCTTCTCTCTCTCTCTGGTTGCATTGTCCTTTTCTCTCTCTCTGGTTGCATTGTCCTTCTCTCTCTCTCTCATTTTGCATTGTCCTTCTCTCTCTCTGGTTGCATTGTCCTTCTCTCTCTCTGGTTGCATTGTCCTTCTCTCTCTCTCTTGCATTGTCCTTTCTCTCTCTCTCTGGTTGCATTGTCCTTCTCTCTCTCTCTGGTTGCATTGTCCTTCTCTCTCTCTGGTTGCATTGTCCTTCTCTCTCTCTCTCTGGTTGCATTGTCCTTCTCTCTCTCTATGGTTGCATTGTCCTTCTCTCTCTCTCTCTCTCTGGTTGCATTGTCCTTCTCTCTCTCTTTGGTTGCATTATCCTTCTCTCTCTCTCTTTGGTTGCATTATCCTTCTCTCTCTCTCTTTGGTTGCATTATCCTTCTCTCTCTCTCTTTGGTTGCGTTATCCTTCTCTCTCTTTCTCTCTCTCTGGTTGCATTGTCTCTCTCTTTCTTTCTCTTTCTCTCTCTTTCTTTCTCTTTGCTTTGTTTCTTTCACTTTCTCTCTTTGTATGCTTTGTCCCTGTCTCTTCATTTTGTCCTTTTTGCTTTGCCTCTTTCTTTGTTTGATTTGTCTGTCTCTCTCTTTGTCTCTCTCTCTTTGTCTCTCTATCGCTTTCTCTCTGTCTGTCTCTTTCTCTCTCTGTCTCTTTCTTTCTCTCTCTGTTAGATTTTTTCTGTTTTCTCCCTCCCTATTTGTTTTTCTCCCTCTCTCTCTGTCTCTTTTTTGTTTGTCTCTCTTTGTTTATGTTGTCTCTCACTCTGTCTTTCTTTGCTTTATCTCTCTATTTGCTTTGTCTCTCTCTCTCTCTCTCTCTCTGTTAGCTTCGTCTATTTATTTCTGTATCTTTATTTTCTTTGTCTCTCTCTCTCTCTCTCTCTCTTTCTGGTTCATTTTGTTTCCTTTTCTCTCCCATTCTTTCATCCTTCTGACATCTGTTGCATTTTGATTTCTTTTCTTTCATTTTATCACTATTGATATATTTTTCTCACACTGCTTTTAATTTTCTGATATTTTTTTTCTTCTTGAATTTTCTTTTCCATGTTTGCTTTTAATTTTTCTCTCTATTTTTCTCTTCTCTTTTCAGTTTTTCCTTGATCTTCTTTTCCTTTCTCCATTTTCTTCTCTCTCTCTGAGGTTTCTTCTTTTCTCTTTCTCTAATTTGTTTCCTTTCATTCACCTTCAGTCTTCATGTTTCTCTCTCAAACTTCTTTTTATCTTTCTCCTCTTTCCATCAGTCATTCTTTTTTTTTCCCACTGCCTTTCTCTTTTTTTTCCCCCACTGCCTTTCTCTTTTTTTTTCCCCACTGCCTTTCTCTTTTTTTATACCGTCTATGTCTCTCTTGGTTTGACATTCTCACACTCTGTTCCTCCCATACATAATCAATGAAGGTGGAAATTTCAAGCAGCCAAAATGATTTACTGAGGTCAGGGGAATAAAGCAGTTGTATTCATTTAACTGAAAAGAAAGCAATACAATAAAGTCCGTCCCATTTCCAGACACAACCATTTGGCCATTGGTCTGATACTCCTAGATTTAACATTTTAGTGGTTAGATTATGGAGACAGGGATTAAAAATATTGCTTTTTATAGTGGAACCTGATTGTATTATCAAGTATTTTAGTTTAAAGAATGTCACGTTTGAGATATGAATTCAAACAAAAAAATAACATAACATAAAAAATAATCAAATCATTTTATCCAATGATCTTCTTTCATCTGGTAATCTAAATAGGCACTGTGCAAAGATGTTTAGGGGAAAATGAAGATAGTTCAATTAATTAAAAAACAAGACACACAAAACAAAATATTTAAAAGAAATTAGAATTCTAATGGTTAACAGCCTGAAAAATATAATTGGTAAGTTGAGTTCAAATTCTGGTTGTGTTTGCTGCAATGCCCTTAGAGAAGGCAGGAATACTAATCTATGGGTTACATATCAGCATGCAATAGATTATATAGCGTTAGTTTACAACCAGTCTAAGAGAAGTACAACCATATGTTCAAAAAAAATGAATGCTATACAAATGGTTTCAATTTTTTTTAAAGAACAATTGATTAATTTTTCTAATTTGAATGTTTAAAAACATCCACCCATTAAATTTATTTGAGTAACAGATGCATGCTGGGATTACTTAAACCAATAAAATTGAACAGACAATAAATTTTCTCTCCCACATATTTTTTTGAATTGAAGTGTTTTTTTTTTAATTATTCTTATTATATCCACTTGACTGTATCCCTTTCTTAAATTTTTGTTTCTGGGATGACCTTTTTGAACTTTTTCATTTGTTAAAATTTTTGTCTTGCACATATATTTTTTCTTAGTATTATTTTACTCTGTTCTTTTTCTTTGTTTTCTCATTGTTGAAAATTTCTTCAATTACATTTGTTGAAAAGTTTGTCAATTAAAATTTAACCAAACAAAATTTATGTCCAACAACATTTTAATAAAAGTAAAAATGCTATGGAGGGTCAGGATTGCTTATGTCCTAATTGGACATGATACTTGAGGTGGATGATAAGAATTTTTAAATATTTATGCTGTTTACATAATTTTTGTTGCTAAAATATTATTTAGAAAATTTTTGACAATGAAAAATTCAAATATTTGATCAAAGACAGATATCTATGTTGAGAAGTTTTAACTGTTTTCAGACCATTATTTAAAAAAAAAATTCCCAGTTTGATAGTCTTGAGTATAATGAACTACATCTGACAGCAAGAGGCCATGATTGGGAGATTGGAAGTTTTGAGAAGCATGGAAACACCTCAATTGCTGTTGTTCCCTGATCCATTCTTTATTTAAATTTGGTGGTATTTTTTTTTAGTTAAATTTCCTATAATATGGGCAAATAATGAATTTTTTAAAAAAAAAATCAAAATCATTTTTTATAGTAAAATACCATCAATGCCTTTTTATTAAAATTATATATATATATATATATATATATATAACCAATAATGAGTGAGCATGTGTGTGTCTGTGTATGTCCATGAATGTACATGTGTGTATGTATGTTTGTGCAAGTATGAGTGACGTCCTGACAACAGTTTTTTTTCCCACTTCCATAAAAACACTGATATATTAATTTATTTATTTTTTTTTGTTTCTTGATAATTTACAAAAAAATATTAAACACTAATTATTTATTAGATTGTTTATTTACAAGAATAATTTTATATTTACAACATTCTAAAAAATAATACAATTGTTTTAAAACTAATGAAATGTGATATTTATCATTTACCAATTTATAAAGAAAAAATATGAAAACAATTTTTATTCATAAATTTATAAACATTTACTAAATTATTAAAATGTATGAACCAACTATAAGTAAATCTTTATTATTTACCATTTTATAAAGTTTGAATCAATTGGCAATTAGTTGATGTTTTGCCAACCATTCCAATAAAATAATCTAATAAATACTGTTTATTATTTTTATTGTAAATTATCAAGAAAAAAAAATGTATAAATTCACTTTCATAGGTTTAAGTTTTATTACAATTCTAATCATCACATTTTAAAACTAAAACATAGTTAAAATAATAGTAGTTAAAATAATAGCAGTGTCAATGAAAAACTGTCATTTTGACATTCAGTTTTTTTTTTGCATACAAAGGTTCAAGATTTTTTTTTCTTGTCAAAAATTTAAATATATTAATTGTTTTTTCTTCAGGTATATCTATTCTTT